GATGTTTGCTAACCATAATGGGCGTGCACTATTTGGAACATCGAAATATATATAATTTAAGGTTGCCTATGCGTATGTATCAACATTTTAGAAGAAAATAAATTATATGAATTCAATTTTGTTCAAATTGTCGAAAAAGAACGTGGATAATGTTTTGAGTAAGTTTTTTAGAAAAGGGTATTATTTATTGTGACAAAAAAATGTTATGTTAGCTGAAATGTATCAATTATTCGTTCAATGAAAACTCTCCTGCACGCTTTGAATTACCCGTATATACAGAAAAATTCGGGCGCATGCGCATTTGCGGTATTTAACAGAACGAATCATGCTTTGTACGTCCATAACAACGTTTATATGTTTACGATAAATCATATCTAGATTTAAAAATAACAATTATATGCATTATAGGTAACTCTGAAAGCTCTTACCTTCTTCTTTCTTTTTTTGATATATTCGCAAATCAAATCAACGATTTGTTTAATCTGCATATCAACAGCACGAAGCAGTGCATCGCCGAGTGCCACGTTGTGAGCAAGTAACAGTTTTATAATATCTGTAAATAAATTAGAGCCGTTACGTGGACCTACGTCGAAATCAATCCCCGGGGAGGGGGATTTACAAAATATCAGTGGTGTGACGTCAGTACATTAAGACCCCTACTCCAAAATGCGATAATGTTGACAGACTACGGTTCCTATTTTTTGTTACCTTGGAATGTATCATACTTTTTGCTCATTTTCGAAATTTAATTTAAGCTGCATGACTGAATGTTTTACTCACTTTTCAGACTAAAGATCGAAACATGTTGACGCCTATCGAGGTACACTGTTAACATTTGTTTAATTTTTGTTAAAGTGGGAGGGTTGTCACCTGCGCTCGCGCGGGAATTGAGTCCCAAGCGACGATAACAACGCACGCCAACAATGCAAAGGCTCATGGGTAGACGTTTGTTTGTAAACAATGACGCTATCTGACCATCTGACGCATGCGCAGGTGACGACTCCCCGCTTCAACTTGCATCATAATAGTTTTTCTATTTTTTATTCAACAATGTTCATGTTTGTCCATTTGGTCCAAAATAAAAGAAGAAATTGCACACAAATTTATAAAAATGTACAGAATATTAGCGGGAAAAATTACGACGTCCGATTAGTTATATCTGAATGTGAGGGTTTTCTAGAATTAGTAGTATTTGAAAACAGATCTTCAACGGAAATTGTCAAATTTAAGTCTGAGTGAATTTGCTTTTGACGCACTAACACGAATCTGGTATGGTGGCATGATGTAAACATACATCTAATTTTCGCTCAGATTGGTTCCCGGCGCAAATAACTAGTAATCGCCATATTGTTCCACTGGACCGCGATTCCGGTCCAAAGTCACGTGACTGTGTGACGTGATTTTTAAAACATTCCAATTTTAGTTCTCCGTAGACGTATCTGTATTTAATTTACTACAATAACGCCATGCCCGTGGCAGTCTGCCTGGTCAGTCAGACTTCATAATTAAGAGGGTTCTGGAATTTCCGCTGTGTGTGCAAAGAAATAACAAAAGAAACAGTTTTATGTTCGCCCAACTTTTGAAAGTAAAAGAAGAACCCTACTCCATATATAGAACGACCTCGAGTCTATGTGCTGACGTCAGGTAACTAAGGGAAATATAGCAAAGTAAGAGAACGTGATGGACCAATCAGAGTACTGGATCCATCACGTGTGCCTTGATGTGCCATGACCATCACGTATCCTCGACACTATCACCGTTGTACTTATCTTACCAATAATATTTACTACTATCATAACTAACATTGACTACCAGCACTCTCACTCGCAATACTACCAGTATTATGACCACTAAGACTCTCATGATCATGACAATCACCAACAAACAACATTAGTACCACAATCATAACTATCATTCCAACCACCACAGAATTACCACTATTATGAACAGCTGGAAAAGGATGAAGTCAAAGAAAAAGAAGGAGTGATCATCACGGAATTTGATGATAATAATAATGATGGTGGGGAGCAGAGGAATGACGACAAGATTGGGTTGATTCACCTATAAAAAACCTAAATGAGGAAGACAATTCAACAAATTTGTGGAATTCCAAAACAACAAAATGTATGGTATTACCTATGAGTATATTAATATGATACAATGTGTGAATGAAATCACTCTCTTTATCTACTAGAAACTGTTTTAACCACATTTACAGACTAATTTTTGGATTTTAGAACAAAATGTCCGTCAAAGTATAGTACTCGTGTGCAAACTTTCAACTGAATCAGGCAATATATTATTGGGAAATTGGCATGGACATGAATAAATACAAAATGGCCGCTATTTGGCCATTTTCATTTTAATCTCAAAAACAAATATGACGTACATCTGTAAGCCAATAAGCATGATTATGATACATGTACAACGTTTGAATGAAATCATCATGTTCATCTCTGCAAAGCGGTTCCTGACACTTTTCGTGATAAGTATCTAAATTTAGCAAATTTGAGAGCTAAAATGGCAGTCAGTCAGTTATATTTGATCAAATAGTAAAGAAAATCGATGTACATGTCATTTTATGTAAGTTTTCATACATAGTATTCGTGTTAAATTTTAATGTGATCGATTAAAGCATGTATGAGAAACGGTTCTGGACGAACGATTTCGGAACTGGGACTAACTGATACTGAGAAGAGGGGCATTATTTTTTCAGCTTGATATTGGGCAGGGTCACGTGTTTTTAACCTAGTACTGTGGAAGGTCAGCATTTTTCTTTCAGACTGACTCGAAATCCCCTGGTCCATTCCCCTACTAATAAACACACCGTCCATAACTACTTTTGTGGCTTGATGACGTCCGGGGCACTGTGACTTTGAGCAACCCCAAACAATGGATATAAATCGCTAATTTGATTTTCCGCAGTCTGCCCTGCATTCACTGCATATTAATATACTGTTTTTCTTAGAAAGGCTACGCCGTGACTTTCAAAATTCTCGTATGTCCCCCGCCACCCGAGAACAGGTGGCGTGATTCTAACGATTGCCGTGTGCGTGATGTTTCGCTCTGTATGTCTGGATAATAACTTGAAATTAGATAAATTATCCGACCGGAACACGCTCCGCTATTTTATTGAAAAGCTTTGCAAATTTTACCGACATTGTCAAGATTGTGCGTAACCTTTCAAATACAAGTGTCACAAAAATCTATAGAGGCAGGTGTTGTTAAACAACCTACACGATTAATAGCAATCTACTTTCCCACATTTTTCTAAAAAAAACTCACCCATATGGAGTAACGGATATTGAGCGATTGCGAAGGAAACGCGGCAATTCGACTCCTAAAGGCGTAATTGGATTTTGGAGAAACTTTCAATCATGCGCCGGTTATCAACAATTGACCGATTATATTGCGTCATTTTAAGTGGAAGTCTTTGACACACCGATGGTAGAAGTGACAACATCCCCGGGGACGTGCCTGAACATAGATCATAGCTGCGAAGTTATTTCCCAAAACAAACATAACAACTCGAATCGATTTGTTATTCCGATCTCGAATACAAAATACGAGATGCGTTGATGACACCGCTGGTAAGGACGTTGTCACTTGAATGTGTTAAGCAGTATGTCGTCTGGGGGGAGCTATATGCCTTCTTAACTCTGCACATTTAAATCAAGAACATTGTGTTAAATCTGTCAACATTTTTTGTTCCTATTCACATTTTTCTGGAATTTTCCATAATTCCGTGGTTAATTGATGGAGGAGAAAAACAAGTCTCGTAGCTTTCTCGCTCTCAACGAGATCTCCGCGGCCATTTTCGTCTAAGGTTTTATCTAGTATTCGAAATTCCAACCGTTGTCCAGTTTGACAGCCGATTATTTTTAAATATTAATAAGTAAAAGGCAAGGCATGTCAAGAGAGCGCAGCTGAGAAGTTTTTTGATCTACTAAAAATAGAACTGTCGTAACAAACGTTGAAGCGTGTGAGCTATTATGAACATTGAAATTTATTCAGCTCACGCGTAATAAGTAGGTGATTTTTCCGTTCACTGCGAAATCTCGCGTACTTGTGTGAATTGATAGACTGAACGTCTGCCGCAAAAATAGATTGCTTTGATTTGAATTGAATTTGAAACTTGATTTGTTATAGGTCAATGTCGAAATACCGAACTTTCAAAGGTCACGGTGAATATGACATTGGAAAATATCAAAATTGACCGTCATCAAATGTCTATAGCGTGAAAATATCCCCAAAATACTTGGCACAATACAAATTGGCACTATTTGGTCATATAAATGTTGACATTTTCAGTGTTATAACGCGTCAATTTATATATGAGACCAAGTTCAGATTTTGGTATTTTTTTCAGCCCACTAAAACCTGTGACTGTTATTATGTCTCGAATCGACGATGAGCCGATTTTTATTTCCCGTTTTACCTAATTAAGTTATACTAAGATTAATATTTGCATTTATTTTTTATTATTTCAACATATTTCGGACAAACTCTGACAACTCGATACTCGGTAGAACGGTACACCAGTTCTTCGATTGCGTTATGAATATGTTTACTCTTACGACTTTCCCCCTCGATGCAATGCGCGAGTCATTGTGAAGAAGGTTTTAACTCGTAACAAGCATTTAGAGTTGAACTACGGGCCAGTCTGTTATCTTACCATTTGAGAATATTTCTAAAGATGTCTTGCAATGAATGAGCTGTCTTGATTTGGATAGTTTGCAAAATATTCAAAATGTCGCTGCTCATACATTATAAATACTCTTAAGGTATTTAGATATATCCCCCATTCTCCACTATATATATTCACCTACATATACATATACATATTATTAATAGAGCCCACTTCTTTTGCGACTGACTGCGATCGCTTTATCAAATTGTTGAATCTGCAAAATGTTTGAGGAATTGTTGTAATGATTTAACTTGACTTTGACGTTCATTTAGATTTTTTCATCTCACCCGTACGCAAATTAAGCGCATGTACATCAAAGACATATATAGTAGTTATGCTGGTAGTTTGACCACGTGCCATCAATGTTAACAACTCGTCGAAGTAGCTGTACAGTAAACAACTAAAAAGCCAGTGAAATGTTGATTCTAGCTTAGCTGAAAAAAAATTCTTTTCATGTTTGTCAAATTATTGATCTGGCAGTAAGAGAAGGTGCTTGACACACTAGACTGGCAATATAAACATACATTGGTACCATATGTTCATTTGATTGGCTCTTCATTCTTGCTAGAGGTCATATGCTTGACCTATACACGCATTAATTATTCGATGGTTTATAATTTTGCTATTTTTGCCAATAAGTAAAATCCACTGAATCAAATCCACGGATAACATGTAATATAACAATAAAGGTCATTGTTTCCCTGCCAAGTTTATGAACCTTAAACCCAGTGAAATTGCTCAAAACATCAGTGCAATTAAATGCCACTGAAAATATATGTGTTTCACAATACTCGGCAGACACGTACACAACCCATACAACATTTTCCGACTTTTATAAATGCTGATCATTTGCGTTTACCCTCTCCTGATACTGGTATATTCTGAATAGTGTTGAAGAAGTTGAATGTAGAAATGTTCAATCGAACATATTTGTAGTTGGTCTGTCGGGAAAAATAGCGTATTGCGCTTATATACTATGCCCAATATCACCCTTTTAGCGAGATGTATGAGCGACATTCGATATCTCATTTATAGTTATATACATCATATCTAAAGCCCCATCTGAACACCCCAAACATAATATCACTCAAACAGCGCCCAAAACATAGTCACAACACCAAAACTCAACATCTGAAACCACAATACCCATAACGTCGTCATATATAACTTTCTCACTCAAACACACCTTCACACATAGCATCGCCCAACATAACCCAAACACAAACTCAACCCAACCCAACATAACATCGCCCAACATAACACACTCAACCCAACATAACATCGCCCAACATAACACAAACTCAATCCAACATAACACCACTCAAATACATCTTCAAACATAGCATCGTCCAACATAACCCAAACGCAAACTCATCCAATCATAATATGATGAATTTATTTTTGCGTATCTGTTAATCGACTTAATTAGCTGATTACTAACGAATGGCTGTGTTATGTCTGGCATCGTTTAGGCCATTTGAAGTTTTGGACGGAACTTGGCTCAGTGATTTGGAACTAATTACGAGATAACCGTCGCTATTCGGACTACTATTTCTGACAGTTAGTATTCGTAATTATTAATGTAGTGAAAGATTAATCAAAAGATATGACGTATTCAGTACTTAGTGTGATTGGCTTTATGATTGAAGGTTACGCCCTAGAGTCTTTTTACTGCTTTGTAATTGGTTAGAGTTTTGAAAATGAATAAAGTTGTTTTAGTTGGTCTTGGCGAGTACACGAGGACAGACGCAGTCCAGTCCTGTAGAGTCCATCCCTGGAGAGTCTTGGGCTAGTCTTGAGACGCAGTCTTGGGCTAGTTTTGGGTCAGCCTTGCGATAGTCTTGGGGACTTTTCCCCAGGGCGCTGTGTCTTATAGAGTGCTCAAAAGACCGACTAAGACGAGAGTTGAACGTATTTCGTTGTGTGTGTCTTATTTGACTGTAAAGCTTATGTGACTTCCCCGATCCCGTACCTCAAGGGGACGCAATATAGAGACGAGACGAGATTCCCCCCTGACACGTGTGGAGAACCCTAGAGAGAAGAATTCCCCCCTCATAATAACATCACTCAAACACAACGTCCTCAACATAACATCGCCCAACATAACCCAAACGCAAACTCGCCCAATCATAACATCATTCAAACACAACATCTTCAAACATAACATCGCCCTAACGTATTATCACTCAATCACGTAACCAAAACACTTAAAAGCAATAGATGGTTATTAAATATGTTGATCAGATCATGAACCCAATGTCTTGAATAAAGCGCTGGTTGAATGTCTCTATCTACAATGGTGCTCCAGGTATGATATTTGTGCATGTTAATTAGGTCACATGACCATATATTGTTATTAAATATGTTGAGATCATGAACCCAATGTCTTAAATAACGCACTGGTTGAATGTCTCTGTCTAATAGTGCATCATATATGATATTTGTGCATGTTAATTAGGTCACATGACCACATATTGTTATTAAATATGTTGAGACCATGAGCCCAATGTCTTCTATAACGCACTGGTTGAATGTCTCTGTCTAATAGTGCATCAGATATGCTATTTGTGCATGTTAATTAGGTCACATGACTATGTATGATATATGTTCAAATCGAATGTGTCTTCAATATTACACCGTGTGAATGTTTATATCTGCAAAATAATTATTAAAATGGCATCACATTTCATTAATAGATAAATATCTTTTCAAAGTGTTGGCGAAACACGAATAATTGTCCATCACATTCATGTGAGCTAACACTTAATCAAAATTCATAACCGTAGAAAACTTGTTCTTTTTGCTATTAATTCAGAATAAGAGAAATGCCAAAGAAAATGACAACTAAAACATGATTTGTTTTTGTGTTTTTTTGGTTCACCTACGTGTCACTCTTGAAATAAATAAACGGTGACTTTTCAAATAAATTTCTAGAAAAGCAATTCAAATGATTAAGCATTGATTCACGTAAAACAAATCGCGCGCCCTGTGGCATGTAGCGCATAGCAACGCGTAGCGCGCAAGAATGTTTTTTTTTTGTCGTTTTTATCATTCGATAACTTCACCTAAAAAGCACCTAATTTAAGCTTAATAACGTTTGTACTCGTTGATCTGCGCAACAGTCAAATCGCTATCTTTGTTTATTATGAGACCCATATATCTCGCGCATGGGTGGCGCGACGACTACCGCCTTTTGACCTTCGGACAGCCGAATTCCATGCTTAAATTCCGTGTGATAGATAATATCGTTTCACATACCCGGTCACCGATAGTAATTAACTAATGGAATTCCTTCTGCCAAATTATTTCACTAATTCATCTACATGTAATACGACGTGATCTCACAGAGAGATAAATATACAATCATCGCAGCTCAGTTCATTTTATTCGATCGTTCTTCCTCCGACATGATAAACGGAACCTATTGTGCATGGGCGTTTGATGGTTAATAATTCTGGCGATTCGTATTATCTGATACCAATTTATAGGTTTAGAAAATGTCAATAGTTACGCGGTTAATGCGTTCTATGAATAAAACAGTTAAACGAAGTGTCGGGAAGCACGAAGGAAGCCAACAATCACGTTTCGCAAAATAAACCTTCGTATTTCGTTTCTATACCTTAAAATAACAATCAAGACATCTAGCTATTTCAAAATTATGTCCATTTAAACAAAAATTAACAAATAAATAAAAAAAACATAAATAAAACCTTGTACCAATATTTTAGCGGTCAATTAGCATATGGAGTGTTTAAGGGAAGTGATAATTGATCTCATCTCGGGCCAGTTTTGAATCGGTGTACTCGACCTTTCATGAAATCGCCGTAGTTAGGGTGATCATTGTATTGATGTGATGTGTTCAAAGATGGACTGAACGACGAACTCCATTTATTAAACTAGTCTCCTATTTACAGGAAGTAACTGCAACGCAAAGTATCCCATTTCCCGAATCCACGCGTGAAATACAACCACTTAGGCGCGCTCTTTGTCGTCAAGTAATGCCGGATTATATCCACGGCCATTAGAGCGCTTGATAGACAGCTGTCTTTTTCATCTGACACGTTGTAGATTTGTTGTTGTTTTTTACTCTTTGTTATGTGAGTCAATGAATAAATTAACTAATTAATGAAGTCCTAGAGTGACTGTGAATTAACATTTGAATTAATAGCATTTTGTCGGGGTTGTTGACGCGTGCAGTTTGAAGCGTTCAATATCATCTAAACTATTCATAACTGTTGGTTTTTGAACGATAGTTCTCGCATGCTTAACTCAAAATAAAAACTCTATAAAACAGCAATGATTAATCCAATCGGAATTATGGGATTGCCTGTTCATTGGTCAGGTTGAATTATGCACGCGGGAAATAATCACGTGATTTACGAAAAATTTAAAATCCTCTTCGGTATCTGATTGCGTCCACTGTGCATACAGGCGTATTGCCCTTTCGGATTTAGAATAGTTGAAATAGTACATAAACGAAATACGACGGCGGATTATGACATTCACTTCGTCTCTATATATAACAACTTATTTAAATATTGACAGGTTTTATTACTTGACAGATCATACATCTTTTTTTCTTTTTAGAAACGTTCTCACACTTGTCTTAGGAACCTTATTCTGCGTAGGGCGTATTGCCCTTTCGGATTTAGAATAGTTGAAATAGTACATAAACGAAATACGACGGCGGATTATGACATTCACTTCGTCTCTATATATAACAACTTATTTAAATATTGACAGGTTTTATTACTTGACAGATCATACATCTTTTTTTCTTTTTAGAAACGTTCTCACACTTGTCTTAGGAACCTTATTCTGCACGCTAATTGTGATCAACGGCTTAGTCGAAGTGTCGTTTATATTTACGATACTACTCCCTCTGTTCATATGGAGAGGACCGCCGGGAAGCTTCTTGCGATATATACACAAAAAATCAGATCATCGGATAGCCAAATGTAACATTCCTAAGTATCCCAAGGGTGTTTTCAAAACTCACTCTGTCGGCAATTATTTTCCTTTTTATCTCATGCTATTTACAGAAAATCTAGTCACGCGTGACTTCAGTTACTGGCAACACTAGTGTTGTTTTACGTTTTAAGATGTTATTCTGTTCACGTGACGAAATGTATAACGCCATTACTGAGAGGTTATCTAACCAATAAGCGTGAATCAAATGTTTTGACTGTGTGAGAAGTTTTCAGTTGATCCCATGCCCTCTCTCAACTAGCTTCGTTTGATATCCACTAATTACGATGCGTTGTGACGATAAAGTTGTGCTCTCACGATTTTAAACATAATTGTAGTGAGTAACAATCAGCTTGCGATACTATTAACGGTAAAACATATCCGTCTATATTTTCGTCAAAATATCTAGCATTCCGTGATTCAATCGGTAACTTCCGTACACAACACGGATTTACAGCGGTGCATCCGGCGCCTCCAAGACAATTGTCGTTACTCGTATATCCCAGAATACATTCCGACTATGACGTTATTGAAAAAAGTACATCTCGTACAACGTCGTAGTAATCGTGAGCTCACCGTCCCATCACAGATATACACTCGAAATGTACATTCCACCGAACTCATCTTACCCACCTTGAAATTCATTCGGGGTTGGTTTTGCTTCATCTACCTTCCATTCATTGTTGATGTTGCGCTAAGTATGATCGGACATCATCCCTTTGAATTCCATAAATTTCCCGCCAAAATATTTGTATGAATTATTTTAATAATTTGGAACCATCTTTACCGATATATACTACACTTATTTACGTTCGTAATATCGCCGACAAATGAAACTTACAATAACAAATATACGCTAAATATTCTTAATAATATGTATTTATATTCCCCGGACATAGAAGATAATGGTCAAATTATTCGGTCACCTGAGATACCTAATATTTCAAGTTCATCGCCGGATAGCTCAAATGTAGTATAAATAAGCCATGAAATGAATAATGTCATTGAAGTTTTGCTCCTCACTCATTGCTGGCATACCTGAATATCGGTCGCTACAACGCACATTCCACTGCTTCGCGGTCCAAGACATATGCAGAGTTTTCCCCGAATCTGCGACTAAATACTGTCCAGAATATCAACTTTATGACGTCGACACGTAGGCATTGAAAATGTTTATAATAAAACACACCTAATTAAAAAGAATCCTTCACTATAGTATTTCCTAAATATGTGATTGATATCAAACATGAATGACCTCGGGATAGATGAATGTTGGGGTCGCCTTAGCGACGTGTGAAGGTGACTGAAATATACAATTAACTATGAAATAGTATATAATCGAACCCAAGAGAACCCGGTCATTTATTATTAAAGATTTATGTTGACAATCGGTACACGGATCACATTTTATCAGCTATACGAACCTGGTCAATAGAAGCAAGATTTGTATTCCATTCGGACTGTGAAACGATCCTGGTAGGTTCATGGTCACAAAGTGTGTAATTTACTTAAACTCTCTACCAAGTATTTTCGCTAACTGGAAGTGATGAAAATTCATAAATAACCCTACTCTAATAAATATAACGAGATTGTTGGCTGTGTAGTCTCATCGCTATGTTATCTAGCTTGTAGTTACTACACATTCAAGTTCACAGATAATGATAATTGAACTCTACCGTTTAAAAATGGGTTAGTGTTTATTAAAAGAAGTATCATTTTAAGCACACTATTATCTGACAATTAAACCCCGAATAACGTCCACGACACCATTATTTTGAGAATACTTATGAAGTATATACTACAAACCAGTGGAGTTGTAAGCTATCACACCCGTTCTTAAAATGCGTTACGGTAGTTAGTTTATAAAACTGTGGAGAAATACACAAAACCTATTAACCGTTAACTAACCTGTACTGCCATTTTGAATGGCCAAAATCAGAGCCGATCTACCAGACGCGTCTGTGCAGTTGATGTCCAGCCCTCTGGCGTACTCAAGCGCTAATTTCATCGCTTTCTTGTCACCCTTTTCGGCAGCGGTGAGATACAGTTTTTCCATATTTTTCCGATTCATCCTGTTGTTTCTAATCTAAAGCAGCACGCGGTAGGGTAACTGCGTAATATATTGATAAACGGTGTCGCTAAGACGAAACTAGCAAACGGGACTGATATAGATCCCAAATGGAAAAACTTTGCGTCGCGATACAGATACTTAGAGTGAGTGAAATGGCATTTGAAAATTAAGAATAAGTTAGGGGTTCCACACACACACACAAGAAAAAAAACATAAGCTGGCAAATCATAGGCGGAAGAATACGAATGAATGCAAGAGAATTTTTAATCTGACGTTTCCGGGCACTGTATTCGTTATGGTTTGTGTAGTTTCATTGCGAATATTTTAGTATAGTCCCTGCAGTAACTGTAGCAATAGAGACAAGGGAATCGTGCCATCCCTAATAAGCTCCATTTCCCCAGCAACACTTCAAAGCGGCGCTATGACTCTGATATTTTTATTAGTATTTTATCACGCGGACAACGAAATCTATATTTTTTAATAGTCGAGCAGATGAAACAAATTATCGTAATTGCCAGTACAATAGCTGGCGCCGTTTTTGTTCAAATCAAATAGCTAAATAATGTTGTCGTGAGCGTTTGGAAAACAGATGCACATCCGGCAAAAACAGACAGTTTTATCCTGCACTGTATTAGCTTGTTAATCGATGCCGGAAGTGAAGTTGTGAGATATAGATGAGTTCCTCTAGTAATTCATATTCATAGTTGCTTTTTTTATTCACAATGCGATTTCACCCACAATCTCGAGAAATGACAGTAATGCGTGCAGGTTGTCATCAACAACAATTTCATATTTATTATGACGATAACTTATGTTTATTATATGGCATTTGCCAAGATCATAGTTTGCAAATGAATGTTAACCCGATAATATAGACGGAAATTAGTACGCCCGTTCACGAAATAAAAGATAGCGTACTAAGAACTGATTCTACCGTCTGTAACTATGATGGACGCGAACACATGACGTCAAGAGAGCATGTTTCACCCACTAGTGTTCTTGACAGAGCGCTAAAAAAATTACTCAAACTTCGTATCTTGAGTTAAAAAACCCATCTGCGAGTAGTATGCATTATACCTATCAGTCAGCGATGATGTTTTTTTCCAGTGATGCGATTTAACAGGATTCTACTTCATAATATTGTCCATTCTTCAGTCAGTCATCACTCACCGGCACAATGCGCCTTCGGAGTAAGCATTAAATTGACGGTATCAGGTGGAATGCAATGTTAGATAAGGTCACACCATGTCAGCCGGTAGGGAATAGAAACACTCATATAACCAAATCGATGTTTGTTTAGCTCAATTCTTCATCATCATAACGCAATCAAAGCGTGATAGCTCGCTGCGTTCCTCTCCGGTCATCCGGGTCACACAGTCATAAAGAAAATTGGCTATCATTTGCGCAGACACTGTGACAAGTTAATTTGCGTCACGACAGGCGGGGATAGTGGAAACGGCTCTCATCTGCATTGGGTTTACCCAGCACTGGCGTCTAATTTCTATATTTCAAGTACTTTAATTGGTTATTATACATGGTGGAATTCCAACTGGGTTATGGCTAAATATTGTCATATGTGCATTTCATAGATGTTATGGATTAGATATAATGAACCGATCTTAAAATAGTATTAAATAATGGAATCATGATTTTAAAACTAAATACTTTTTAAAATCACAGAGGATTTATAACAAAATATTAATCGGTATTTGAGTCATTTGCTAGTTGTTATGTGTCTGGTCGGTTTGTATGAAATAGATTCGTAACTACTTCGTACAAATAAGGGTTCAGACAAGTTCAGGTCAATCAAAATAACATGTAGATGTCCGGAATCACCAATTTTCTTCTATAAAAGTAACTCGAATATTGCGTTTTGTGTGTCAGTGCCCGAGTCCAGTGGTTCTAATATACTGTTACAATAATGTGTGCCGATACCGAAATACACCTTGTTGAACGATCTATGACGTCTTCACTCAAATAACACATGGTGTTTATCGCTACATCTTCGTTCGCACCCTTAGAGCAAGCATTCAGCTGTGGTTTTCTGACTTGTGTTTATACATACTTGGTTGGTAATCCACCGATGAAAACTGCGTACACATGTCAATGATAGTAACAGAGTCAGCTTTTTCCAATTATATCAAACGCGTGCCATTTTCTGAAATATCTTCGCTAACATAAATGGAAGGGTATCATTAAGTTGCAGTGACACGATAACCCGCGGCTTGTTGACGTAGGAATTGTCACGGATGTACGTGTGTCTTTAATAAAGATACGCGTTCAGCACCTAACCCCATATGTGCGTGGGACGCGTAATTCAGCTGATATAACGTCACAGACAACCCGGCGGTAAACACGTAGAATGGTGTGGTTATAGAAAATTTGTAATTTATCCAGGTGAATGATTGAAAAAAAATAATGGAAAGGACATTTTCTTTGAGGCCGTAAAATTATAGTATGAATAGCAGAGTAATGAGTTAAACTGTAGCTAAGCATGGAAATCATGTATAGAATTGATTCACGTGAGTACGTCCCAAAACAAACGAAGTATACGTTGCGGTGCTGATTCGAAACTGTCAACACATTTTATTCCAACATATGGCATCATCTTTTAGTGTGAGTTGTAATATTAATGTACAACCACATTCTTTGCAATTCATATAATTTACCAGCTTGTTTTGTAATTGCCTTAAAAATAATTTTACGAGCAGTGCTAACGTAACAGCACATTTCTATTTAAGCATGCCATAAATACGGGCATGTATATACAATAAACAAATAACTTTTACAGTTACCAAATATAAGTTTTTTGTTCATGTTGTCAAAAAAACACAATTTTTGTCGATCAATTGGTTTTTCACTTGTACACATGTATGGTTCTAAAATATACCTGGTTATGCCTGCAAAACACAACGCAAGTGTTGCCTCGAGCAATGTTACATGTTTGTTCCTGTATTACCTACGAATGACCCCATTTATGTCAACTGCCCCAGACAAAAAAACAACACGAAATAGGCGTTTTATGGAATACAGAAATATTTGATGTGGAGATTACTTTCGAAAAGCAAACTAATTCCTTTGCAGATTTATTGACTCAAAATAGAATTAACACTAGCAAATGTAAAATATTGTCTGACTCCATGCAGAGTACATTTGAATATGTCATTTTAAATTTGCGAACAATTGAAATGTTCACATAACTGGAATATCCTTATTTTTAAATAGAATCGACCCAGAGTGTTGCCACGGAACAAGGGTAAGCAATATGTCATCTCGGGACTCCACTTTGAACCTTGGTTTCTTTAGCGAAAACGTGTAACATGGCCGCCAGTTGGAATAGTTTCGTTGTCATTGAAGGGCGGTAGTCGTCGCGTCACGCATGCGCGAGATATATGGGTCTCATATGAACAAAGATGGCGACGAGTACAAACTGAGACGATTCCAAGCTTCAATTAGGTAATTTTTACGTGATTGGAAGTTATCGACGGAGTCACCGGCGGTAATCAGTGCAAATCGCGCCCTGGTCAAACCTCCTACTTGTGATTTCCATATGAAGAGCACATTGGATTATGGGAAAATCAATGTTTATCAATACAAATGTCGCACATGCGCAGCGCGACGACTACCGCGCTTTAACGATAATCAATGTGTGGGTTTTTATTATACGGGAAGGTCGCTTCATAAGGTAACCTCGTGATGACATCATTATATTTTTGTGAATCATTGTATATAACAACCACAAAAGATAAGAGTTGTCATAAACTTACGATGTGAAGATAAAATATCTTTTTTTGAGTATTATTAACTCGCTTTCTGCTTAGCGGTCGTAAAATGATATTCCGCATATTGGGGTGAATGGGGTTATGCACATGATTTATGAAACAGTGATACAGCCAATCTGTTATTATAACATGATGCTTGGGATTTGTATGAGTAAATATTCCAGATACCGGCATGGATTATCTATGTGCATCCTATGTATGTTTGCATTCTGTAAGTACAATTTTTAACGGGATTGCAAAATGTCATTTCTGCTTGAAACTGTGATAAATGTTATCGTGAAATGCATTCTGGGAACATTCGATGCTGCGTGGTTTGAACTGTATAACTCCACACTTTAAATAATTGTACTTACACTTATTGTATTAATATTTAATTGTATTTCGTCATCACACATAACACGATTATTGCGCAATTAGTGTATTCCCAGCGTTCAGATTTGAGAATTAATGATGTTGACCTTGAATAAATTACAAATAACAAATGGTTTTCATACCCACAATCCCAAGACCCAAGAAGATACTCGCGTTATGCATTTGGATTATTTACAAACTATAATTAATCTACATCAATAAATTTAATTAACAGCATGTTTGTATTTGTAATTTGCCTATAAATGTCAATAAAACGTTGATAATGTGATATGTGTATTACTAATAGACACTAAACTGAAGTTCCATGAACAAACATAATAAGTGTGTTTACAGTTGATTAAATAAATAAGAAATAGCTACGAGAATACTTACAATGATTAAACACAAGCAATAGAACGGTAACAAAATCGGTAAATTATAGTATGTTGTCACCCTTTGTTTGTGATAAAAAAATGACTTAATAAATCTTTTGTTCAAATTCAATCTTTCCATTTTTGAGGTTCATCTTGACAGAAATGTTAATAATAGTAATTTACGATACGAGTTTTTCTCTTTAGTTGAGTGTTGTTAACAATCAACGAATTAACCCAGTCACGTGACCAATTAATTTTTCTTACATCAAGTAATTTAAGGTCTGCTGCAAGGACGAATAGAATCAAATAATATTAATAATAGCAGCAACCTTGTCTGATTGATGTAATTAATGTCATAAAGTCAAAGAAATTACGCATTATATTAATAACAGAGAATATTTAATGTACAACATTGAAAATTGACATTTTACAAATTTGTGTAATGATAAGTAATTATATGTTATTGATTGTGTTGACTAGATTAACCTATTGGTGTCACTTACACTTGTGTTGAGGTAACACGCTGTATGATTTCTATGTTTCGCAAAAGAAATCACTAAATCATTAATTCTTAAGGTTTTTTTTCAACAACTATATTTATTTATAATTTTTGTGTATGGAAGTATATCTATGAAGTATACAGATTTATTATATAATTCTATGCTACGCAAAAAAAAAGCATCTAGCGAGATGTGCCACGCGTAATGCTTATACAGAATCTCGAGCAACGACATTCAAAATGACGTAGGTGAATAACCTTTACATCACCTCAGCTGAGACCGATGTGTCTTATTTCATACCCATCTTTTATTTTCCTATCGGAATCTTATTTATATGTGCATTGAATATAACTACGTTTTATTTTTTCATGTAAATTCCATGTTTATGATTGTATTACAAATGCTATAGTTTAAATTTCCTATTATTATTTCATACATTTCTAATATTTTTTTCGAAGCATTGGCTATAAAATTCCGAAATAATTATGTATCCCAATGCACTGTGGTTATCTATTCATTACCGACTGGAGATATCTGCTACGTATTCTTTTTCACGTGGCCATCACGTGACGGTGACAATTGTTGTGTCAATATCGATATAACGACCTGAACAAATATTTGCACACTAATAATACACTTTTGTCATTCACGCAAATCATTCAGATCGTTATGAATTAGGTCACCGAATTAGAAACAACATTGCAAGTTCTAGTAATGGCTTTGCTGCTTTATGCGTTGGTTCATTTCTCTGCGCATCCGATGGTACAGAGAAAGTAGCTACGGCTCTGCAAAACACATACTTGATTAGGCAAGTACTTGTTTACGTCAAAGTTACGTCAATCATATATGAGTAGTGTGATTGATGAACACGTTGAATTGGTTTTAGAGTGGCAACTCTTTGATGGTAAGACGATATGGAGAACAAGTAGCAAGTGTCTGCAGATAACAACGGTTAATTGTGTTGATATTTTAATATGCACATGTTGCACGGGAGCACATCCGTCATATCTAACATAGACCAATCTCACAGGAGACTTATAAGAAAAGTTTTAAGGAAGTTCGAGCTGAATTCAAATGTTGTACTGCTGTGTTGTGTCATCACAGGAAGCGCTGTCCCAGCACAGAACTGTGACATCGAACTCCAAATAGTTCGATACGCGTTACTTATCATTACTGTACAAAGCTGCTTTGCATAGAACTCGTTTGCATATTCGAGCTGCAAGAACCTTGGTGGTTAATACAGTTATGCGTAAGTCACTAGGTTACTTTAATTAGTTTAATACAACTTTTTACTTCCTGACTCTGAATAAAATGTTCGGGTAATTACAATTAAAATATACATGAATTACGTTGGAAAAGTGCAGTCTTTTCAAAGATGTCAAAGTATCAGATTATAAAATGAATGATTAACCCTATAAACTGACTAGAAGCTTTGTGATCTATTGCTGTTAGATGCAAAGAATCGAATCCGTTCAAAATAGAAATACTATTAAAATATTCACTAGAAAACAAGATTAAAAGGGGATGTTTGGAAATCCCTTTGAGTGAAATTAGTGTTTAATAAGTTCCCAACTATGTACACTTGTAAACAGAACGCTGCTTTCCTCAGTTTAAGTTTGTCACGTGCGACATATCACAACAGTAACATTACCTTGCACAACATAGTCCGTGCTAAAATTGTTCGTATTTACGACATTAATAAATAGTTCGGTTTTCATAAACATTTTTTTCTACTTTTTGCAGTACGTTTCCAGGTAAAACAACTGCGAAAATATGACCGTGCGTAGTGAGGTGATTGACCACAAAATTGAAGGCTGCCTGGGGAGGGTAAATCGCTAAGACCTATTGGAAGGAGATTGATGTGACATATGACGCCTTACTAGCCGATTTTGGCTAAAATAACGCTCCGCCGCCTCTTTACACTAGTGTTCATACACGGAACTTGATATTACTTTTTACAATTTAAGCTGCTTTTAATCACATATTTTAGTGAAATATTTTTTGGTGGGTGAAATACTAATGTCATGCATAATTCACCTTTGGAACAGCAGTTGAATACGTGCCGACAAATGACTTCGAAACGTTCAAATTTTCGAACAAACTCCCGACATTCCTTGCGCGATATGCGTCAAATCGGTGTTTAAAGAACGCAGCGTCAATGGTACTACTGGGCATGTTACTGCACATATAGACAATACATTTTGGGAAGTAACCTCTCGTTGTATATATTAGAAAAAAAATATCCCCTTGAAAACTTACTTAATTATATGTCAATGTTTAAATGTTTTCCCAATATTAGGATCCATGTCAACAATAATATATTACATTTTTATCAATGCCGTCGAGCAAAATTTTGATAAATCAATAAATAATAATTTTCTGTGACATTTTGAACTCTTGTATCTCAAAGAATGTCCGGTGATTGCATGACTCCAAAATAACGAAAGCATAATTTTTAATGCCGCTCAAACCTCTCCAAAGTAAGAGTCAATCAACGCTGCAATAAGTGGATGGATGTATATCATTGTATATCATTCTTCAAATACTTTAATCATGTGTTCAGAGTAGAGTCATGCACACAAACGTAAACACTTGCTGACCTTCCTTTCAACTGTGTACAGTAATTACGTCATTCTCATACACACGCACACATCAATACAGTTATTCAGCGCTGGTCGTGTCAACTAGTGCAAAATAACATCAAGAGAATCGACTTTACGTAAATGATTAATAACTCTATTTATTGCTATATTCTATTGTAAGCCACACTTTCGTTTCTATACTAGGGGGGCATATTTCTCCCCCCTCTCCAGTATAGATTATTATAGTACTTATTGAGGTATATATAATGCATGTACACAAATTAGTTCACACTGAGCCTTCGGGTGTTATTACAATACAGTTTGGAAACACAAATACAAAATAATACAGTTTTAGGTTGAAGTACATTACAATTACAGTTACTTGTGCAGACTTCATGATTGCTACACTAATACAACCCGCGTGACCTTGTATGAATCGGTCACTCCACGCTTATATTACACTTACACAAACACTTCCAACAATTTTATTAACTATCAATTGACGTCAAACTGTGTACATGGACTTTACACACAAAATATATTCAACATTAAAACTCAGGAGATTAAAGGATGAGAATGTAACTGACTCGTTATGTAAACATGGCCATTATCCAAAAAACATAGCTACCCAGCGGAGCTCTGCGTGAGTAAAAAAATGTCAATTCAGCGAACACCGTTTGTAAGCATAATACACACAAAATGGCTTTGAACTTCACAAGTATGGAGACCACATGTGATTAAAATGTAAACGTTTTGTCCTATGTTTCATTTCTTTTGAAATTATCTGCAACATCTATATCCAGGTGATATTTTCCGGGGATATTGAATGTTAATTGTATCTGTCTGCAGTGTGTATCCGACAGATTACTGATTCCTTATTAATTTTGCAAAAATATGATAAAAGTTCATTTACATACCGGACAATTTATTTGCATATTGACTAAAGGTTACTTATTAAGGAGCGGAATCGGATACAGGAAACAATACCTGAAATGAAATTCATTTTAATACACTTGTCATCTGAATTAAAATTTACAATAATCCAAGTCAGTCCGCAACTCAAAAATAAATAAGCAAAAGATGTTTTAATTGTTTTTATTATTTTAATCAACCAGAACTTTTCTTGCCAAATAATAGGAAACGATTTGTTTTAATTCCTCAATACATGCGTACTTACATCTGGTACGCTTTGGTTGATGCGTGACGAAACATATGCAAGTATTAACTGCAGTTGAAATCTCGGGGAATGTGCAATTAACTACGCATTAACTGACATGTTATTTTCCCAAAGGTTGTAAAAGCATAACCAATAGACCGACATCATTTATTCAATCCATATAAAAACACCTTTTGGGCTCTCGTATGTTAAAACCATCTGGTTAATTTCGGGAGCGCTGAGTCGCTGATTGATTGGGTTTGGGGAATGTTGACAGTTTACCCTAGGGCAGCAACCATGTGTGGTTGTTACTTGGTAGTACAGCATTGGTATTTTCAATCTTAGGTTAGTGATACTTCGAACAACCATCTTACACTGTAAACAAGAATACACTTTATACGAAATAATATAAGTACAGGCAAATAACGACCACATAAACACGGCAACACGTCCATTACACACTTTTTCGAGCCGTCTTATTTAGGGGCGACTCAGGATAAAGTATATGTCTGCTCACATCATGCATTCGTAGTGAGCGTCATATAGCTTGACAGTAAATCTGACGCAAGCTTCAGTAATTACCTTGTAAATTAGAATAACGACTCTCACATTACTCCATTAAATTGGTCTTCGGTTAACGGCATATGATCTCGTCATTGTACAGCGTGTAACGAGGACCTGGTCCGAACATTCAACACCGATTTGAAATAAATATATATATATATCATGTTAGTGTTCGTTGATGATATGACAGACTTTATCCGCAACGTATGCACCACAAAAGTTATAGAATCATTTTCGAAATAAAATGAATTACAGAAACATACGACTCATCAAACCCATATATATATAAAAAGCTTTGTATTTAAAAATAGCCTATCTAATCGGTGAGGTCATCAATGTCAATAAATTCATCGTCATCCAGTTCTGCTATATCTCCATCAATTCCCGCAGCACGAAGAATCTCTGCGGCGACGTCGATGTCCTCTTGGGCTTCCGTCGTCGTGATGGGAGATGCCATATCGTCATCCTTGGTTGTACTACAGTCGCGTTTCTCATCATCCGTCGCGGAAGGGTCATCCTCCTCGATCTTGGCTCGCAATTGGTCTATTTTAACGTCCATATCGCCAATGGCTTCGAACATTTCATACTTGAAGCCTGAAATGTCCTCTTTCAGTGCCATCATCCATGGGTCGGGCCCTGTTTTACCACCACCACCTTCTTCTTCGTCTTCTCCTCTCATCTTGCGAAAATGATATCGCTGCACTAGACGTTTGACGACTTCCTGTTGAATTAATGATATCAGAATTTATGGGTTAGTACTAGAAATTAAAAGGTTATAATCGCCACGCAGCGCAGCACAGTTGTTACGCAGCGCAGCACAGTTGTCACGCAGCGCAGCACAGTTGTTACGCAGCGCAGCACAGTTGTTACGCAGCGCAGCACAGTTGTTACGCAGGACGTTTGCAAAAATCATATAAATAAATGTTTTTGTTTATTTTTTAATCGAGTTTTAATAAGCCGCATTGGGACTTATTATTAGGACGCTGTGTGATAGCTGTGACGTTTTAAAACATGCAAATAAGTATATATACTGATGACAGAATTACATGTAGCAATAGAAAGAACTTCAACTTTAAAAAGCGGTGGTAGTCAGGCAGTATGTAATGTATTTCACCGCGTTGTAAACATCGCCGAGCAACACCCATCGTTTACATCGTAAACGCTCACAATATGCGTACGTATTTAACAAAAATGGGTCGGAATGTTTTACACTTCATTATACATTCTCCTCCAGTCTAATAACTTGTATGCTTGAATGCTTATGACATTTCCTGACAATATTATGTTAAAGTCCAATGCAACACATGGAAGATTGATGAAGTTATTACTTAATTCCACGATGCATGAAGCATATATGTTTAAGGTTTTGTTGACTTCGTATTATATTTTCCTATGTTGGCCAGGCCATGTTGGGTAAATATATTGCTGCTTTAATTGGTGGTTGATTCAGATAGTAATGACCGCTACCGGTATTTAGATTATAATACTTTTGTTATTGTAAATTTCCAAAGGGTATTTATTATCAATTGCACGTAATAAAGACTATTATTATACAATTCATAATCGTTTAAGTTACGTACGATCAGGCTACAAAATACAAATATTTTTGTGTGTAGGAAGCGCTTCCTGGCCTTCATGCAAAAAACATCGAAAAAGGAACTTAAAAGCTCGGTTAAAACCTAACTGACCACACCGGGCTGCGTACAAATGTATATTGTCACATTAAAATGCTATATAACAAATTCAAAGGTTATCGGGAGTATCGTGAACCTGTAAATTGCATTTTGTATCTGTCGCGTTAATTAGGATATCCATGAACTTGAATCATAAAACACATTAGAATTGATTAGTATTCATAGGATGACAGCGTCATGTGGGAGTGGATGATAAATGTCGACGATGTGATACTGGTGTCGTATTCGTCTGAGTTCCGTTGATCTATTTGTTATGCATGACGGTCACAGCCACATTTAAAACATTGTAAGTTTAAAGATGACAAAGATAATACATATACATTACCCGGTATGCAGTCTCTTCTTCCCCCTTTACTGACAGCATCATCTGTAATCAATTGAGAAGAGCAAAAGCTTAGATTCAATGCGCCACACTCGCGACGCAGCGTATCACGCATCGCGCCATAGTCATCACGCAGCGCGCCATAATCGCTATGCAGCGCGCGTTCTAATATACAAACATACATGTTTGCATTTGTTGTATGCATCGCGTGGGACAATATAAAACACAACAAGGCACGATGAATGTTGAGCTATAGACTTAAAGTAGTAATAAAAATATTGTCATACTTTGTATATCACGTTCACGATATATATTTATATATTGCAAATAAATGAATTGAAAATATGGGGTCATCATACTTTGTTTGGAGAAAATCTAAAATTCAGTGAAAACAGCATGTTCTGTTTCTGGCATTTTACCATTGTTTTTTATGACAAGGATATATCTCAACATCTCTAATTTTTTCCCGGTGATATATGGTGGACAAATTTATATAGTGACTTACAGGGCACTTTTTGATGTTTAGAAGCATTAACAAAATTGACAATATTTTAATAATATTTTGGTCTATGTGAACTGCTGCTAAAACTTCATGAAATTTTATGTAATGTAATTTACTGTTTTTTTTCTCAAAAAAACAGAAAGACAGTGGACCATCAAATTAGTCAAATACTCTTGACTAAATCTAAAACAATTAATTATAGACAGATTTTGACACGATTTGCTGTCACTGCGTTATGCGCTAAAATATGCGCATATGTAAACACACACACACACACACACACACACACACGAATAGCATTCTACCTAAAACTTTAATTTCAATTTCAGAAAAAAACTATTTCCCGAAATTTAATAATCACGTCGCGTTGAGGACAGCGTCATATTGGCTCAAGTTAAATTGATCATACCAGATCATAGTTACATGTTTGTTTATAAGTGCGTAATAATAAAAACAAATATGTATGAGGATGATATTACTAACAGCTGCTCCCTTCGATTATACGTGCTATCGGGGAATAACTCGAAAACTATTCAGGTATAGACTCCGTTTAACAGCCGGAATGCGTTATTAAAATATAACGTCACGACATTTTACAATTATGGGTACGTTAGAAAACAATTGCAATAAAATGTCGTCGCTAAATGCACAGGTGAGTTCAATATGTCTATATATTAAGTATCTAATAAAATGAACTATTGACTTGTTATGATACCGGCCACCAATTGCTGTTATGAGGCGTTTTGTAGAGAAAAGAGCGTTATTTGTCAGATCTACATATATCATTATTTTACAATTTACAAGTATAACCATGAATCGGTATGCATGTCAATGAATAATTTTATAAATATCTTATTACAGGGTAATCTGAGTTACATTTGTGGGGTTGCAGCAGAATCCCCTATTAAAGTCCCCTAATATCCACTTACATGCTTAGATATGTCCCATCTGAAAGGAACGTTTACAGGAATTTCTCATAACGGGACTTGAAAGTAACTGTTGCTATTTCAAATGTTGAGTGGCATGTCATTCACAAAATGAAACAACTCTATAACACGTTTAAACTTAGTAATTGAGAGTTTTTGTTGATAACAGCGTACCTCATATATAAAAAATGTCACAGATATAGGAAAGTGCAAGGTTGTTTTGAGTTTTCAAATTCATGACTACAACAGAATAATTAATCATGATGTGATAATTAATCGCTAACCAAACACGACATGTAAAAGTTGTTAGAAAACTATCGCAAATTATACAATTTTGTACAAATGAAATAAAGAAACACATGCAGAGTAAAAACAGGGATGCCTCTTACAGCTTTTTTGGCTTCGAAGTCTTTATTCATCTTCCGACTAAATCGTCGAATAAATTTCATTAGTGTACTTGAAGTTGGAATGATGTTGAACGGTGCGTGTATGGTGTTCTCATCTCCGAAATAAGTGATCCACAGTTGTGATCGGGAATACTTCCACTGCATGTCTGCATCTTCCTGAAAGCAGTGGGAGAAAATAATTAATTTTTAATAATTGTTTACGAGTCCATATTCATGAGTAAATTGCATGTACACCTTTGTTTGATTTGTCTAACAATAATGTTGCAGGTATGACACCTGTCGAAGGTCAGCAAACAAAAAAACAAATATGTAAGTATGAGTCAGTTTTCCGGAAGTTTCTATTTATGAAATTAAGTGGTCCCTCATTTTGATGGGACTTTTAACTGTTGAGTTTATCACGTACGGTGTACATATTATTGATTTTCATCAATTAAATAAGCTATACAATTCCAATGTCCATCCGGGTCTTCAATTGAACAATAAAGGTATAATAACGCCGTGTAATTAAAGTTTTCCGGCGACAGCAGCTGTGTGCGAACTACGTTGTTAACTTTGTATCTATTCCAGTTATTTTTTACAGCCATTTGAAAAATAATAGCGCAATATTAAGTTCATGTGTTATGGTTAGTAGTAATAACAACATCGATTAAATATGTTAAAAATAGTAGTTGTAATCGAAATCTTAGTGTTCGCCGACATCGTACATGTGCGTTGTAAATATGGTCAGAACGAAACTGGGCACGGTATTTACACAGATGTAAAAAAAAAGGTTTGCCGTTTTAATATCTCTGACAGTCTTAGAACAGTTGATTCGTAGTTGTGGTCCGTGTTCGACGCTGTTTGTGTAAATATCCACGTAAATGGCCGCCGAGATCCCGTTGAAAGCAAGAAAATATTGTTTTTGCCCCCTCCCACCCTCATTTTTCTCATCTCATCTCATATATTTCCAAATAACTATTTTGTCATAAATCAGTGGATCAGTGGACGCGATGAGTAGACTATTTGAGAGGGCAACAAAAAGTAGCGTGGTTCTCTCGCTATCAGCGAGTCTTAGTGGCCATTTGAGTTTACGGGCGATTGTGTTTGTGCATAAATTAAACCGCGTTACATCAGCCTAAGTCACTGCACGCGTCCGTGCTACGAATAACTGTCGTTTGGATAGAATGCTTTCAGTCGTTTACATTATTTACGGTTCATAAGCGCATAAACATTTATAAATTTGAAAACTGCAGTCGACCAGTCAAAACGATCGCCGTGACGTCACCGCGGATGAATACACGCTCCTGCAACGAAAGACCAGTCTGCGCGTGTGCGTAGACGTATCGCCCAGAATCTGATTGACTTTGCGGCACATCGAAGAACTATTATAGCACAACCAGTTTTCTCAATTGGATTTGAATGAAACGTTGGGGTTAGGGTTATTTCTTTTAAATAGTGAACGACTTTTCTATAGGTTTATAGATAATTTATAACGTACAAGCTGACTTGCGTGTACATGATCACTGTATCGGCCGTGAGAATACTTCAGTTAATGGTATGTATTCGGTATTATGTAAAATGCAAATATGTCCATGTACCTCGTTTCACAGTCGTTACGCGACATGTCACATTCGTCACGCGGCCCGCGTTAGAATTTAGTGCAGATAAATTAATACTCATTCGCAATAAAAACTGGTCTTTTTTAACACTGTGCCAATATGCTTTCCGATAGCCAACAAATAACTCGTAGAATTCACTCCTATAAGAAACTAGAAGCGCCAAATTGGTTATTGAATGATTTGTTTTGTAATAGACATACATTTAGGGCCTGTGTATTTTCAATGTAAAGAATATTTTGTAAAGAATCACTGCAATTATTTTATCTATTCGTAAAAGGACGTTGTTGCTTCGACGATGGCTTACGGACGACTGACTGCGAAACGTTACACCCAGATCGGCGCCATCTGAAACAAACAAATAAATGTTTTCTATTCTCGGGAACGAACATACGGGCATGTTCACCACCCGACAACCCATCTGGTAAACACAGCGGTCGAAAACTCTCAACAAAACTGTATATTTTTTGGGTTGGTTGTTTAGACTTTCCTGAATAGTTTAACAATATAACGTGTGTAACATATATAGATTTGGTTGTTCGAGCTCGTCTCACACATCACTTATACTTTTTGATATATTGTATGCATTTCCGCTCTGACAGTTTACACCTCACAAGCTAAGCGCATCACGAATAAACCAAATCAAATTATAATCGTGAAATAACTTTTATACATCTAATTTGTATTTTGTAAAATACTCTAAGCATGGAACCGGACCTCTCTCACTGTTTTGTTCTTTGGTATGCAATTATGTGAATAATATTCCCAGATATAAATCATCGATTCGGACAGCTGACATATAATCGTAATCACATTAATGACACTTTTTATGACCTTGTTGGGATGTCCAAACCAATAAGACTAATTACCTGCACTTCCTAATGAAAGATACTTACATCGATTCGAGTGTATGTATTACTCATCATGGCAATCAGAATATTCAGTAGGACAATTATGGCGATCAGGTGGTAGGCGCCATACAGGATGTAGCCGACAACTTCTATTACCCAGTCTGTATCGCCTTCTACTGTCAAACTATCTAGATTGTTCACTCCGAATAAAGCCCAGAACAAAGAGTTCAGTGTTCCGGATATCCTATAAAAATGTAGGGAAAAAATCATTTCCTATTGTGTAATGTAAATACTTTTTCACAGTTCACCATTTTAAAACAAATCGGGTGGAATTTTCAGCCTAAAATTGTCGTGGGTAAAGAGAAAACAAATACTAATTTGCGCGATGACTGGATAGAATTAATCTTAGGGGTACATGTATACAATATTCGCCAACAACAACAACAACAACCCTCCTCGTGCCACAATTTATCCACCCCGCACAATGTCAAATGTATTACCCTTTAGGCTTGTTTTCTCGTCAAAATGTGTGCAAATATTGTGGATTTTATTTTAGAGTGTTTATTTTTTTCGGGAAGGTTTATGCTAAATACGATATAAATCTGAAGTTTTAATGAAACAAAAACTTGTGAAATTAGAAGTGTATATTTATTCGGCTGACATGCGTTGAATACCAACATTTATTGCGATAGAATTTCTGTTTCCGAATCACTTCAATCTATTTTACACGTGTTTGTTCTAGTCGTGGGTGGTAATATTATAACTATGATTAGTATAAAGAATGTGTCTTGTGTTCGGTATTCTCAAGCAACTGTGTAAACAGTCAGTGACTATGTTACACTAAGTGAACACATTATGGCAAAGTATATCTTCTGTGTTTGTATTGGTATCTAACGTACACACTTGTTCCTTTAGTCATATGGTTGAACTACAATCAATATCATATTCTAAGGACAACAATCATATTATGCTAAATGAGAAAGTGTTAATCAAAGATTGTGTTCTTTTGAAGTCACCCGCCCGTCGCTTTATTCAACGTATCCGTGTCACTTTATGTTGTGCACAGAGCAAAATTTAACGTTGTCTTGCGTGAAACTAAAGTCACCGTTTCTTTTCCTACTAACAATAAGAGTACCGGGTTGATTATAGACCTGGGTCGAAGTTATTCAGATAACTAGCCTGGCAGAATTTGACAGAATTGTTTTAACAAAATCCAAATACGACAGAAATATGTGTCTGTCTTACCCTACTTCACATACACACTTGGATACTGAGTACTCAACTTTGAAATATTAATATCACTTTTTGCATTTACTGTTGAAATAGAACAGATCAATCACTCCAATGTTCACAGAGTGTTTTGATTTACACTCGAAAAGTGGACGCGTATAATGTATAAAATAATATATAAAATCCTGCATGTTGTTCCGTTTTTTGGTTTTACAGAGAATTGACATTGCTGGAATTGTACGATAACGTTCAAATGAAAATAACGCGGATTCCACGCATTTTTCTATACAATATATAGGAATGTATAGATATATACACTACATTTACGTTATGTTCTGAGACAAGATGTAAAAATTGAGGCCCACGCACATCGTGTATCTGGGTAAAGTTAAAATGTGGCACCCACGCACACCGTGTATCTGGGTAAAGTTAAAATGTGGCACCCACGCACACCGTGTATCTGGGTAAAGTTAAAATGTGGTGCCCACGCACATCGTGTATCTGGGTAAAGTTAAAATGTGGCACCCACGCACACAGTGTATCTGGGTAAAGTTAAAATGTGATGCCCACGCACATCGTGTATCTGGGTAAAGTTAAAATGTGGCACCCACGCACACCGTATATCTGGGTAAAGTTAAAAGTGGCACCCACGCACACCGTGTATATGGTGTAAAGTTAAAATGTGGCACCCACGCACATCGTGTATCTGGGTAAAGTTAAAATGTGGTGCCCATGCACATCGTGTATCTGGGTAAAGTTAAAATGTGGTGCCCACGCACATCGTGTATCTGGGTAAAGTTAAATTGGGATTCCCACTTATATCGTGTATCTAGGTAAAGTTAAAATGTGGCATCCACGCACACCGTGTATCTGGGTAAAGTTAAAATGTGGCACCCACGCACATCGTGTATCTGGGTAAAGTTAAAATGTGGCACCCACGCACACCGTGTATATGTGTAAAGTTAAAATGTGGCACCCACGCACATCGTGTATCTGGGTAAAGTTAAAATGTGGTGCCCATGCACATCGTGTATCTGGGTAAAGTTAAAATGTGGTGCCCACGCACATCGTGTATCTGGGTAAAGTTAAATTGGGATTCCCACTTATATCGTGTATCTAGGTAAAGTTAAAATGTG